TTAGATCATCTAACTACTGTTTTTAATGTTATTATTGTTAATTAAAGATACCCATCCAATAAATGAAGCATAATATAACATCACGCCTTTAATCCCCGATAGGGTAGGCAGAGGTACACAATACGGCCCTTAATGCCACTGTACAATGTAACACGCACTTTTCACTATTTATAAGTCCCATGTATTAGGGGGTGACCTTATTGCCATATACAGGGACAATATCAGACTCCGTGCTACTACTGGGAATTATTAAAAAAAAAAAAGTATTACCTGCTCGACTCGGGAATAGAACCCGAGACCCCTTGCCAGACAGTCGCGTTTGCGACCACTTGGCCAACGAGGCAGGCAGCGAGGCAATATCCATTAAGTTTATTAAATTGTTAATAATTTAATTTAAGTTATTCAAATCGTTTGATTTTAAAATGTAAATAGTAAACATGATTTCAAAGCAAATAAAGCTGAGTTAGAGAAATAAGTCGTAACCAATTATTCATCGTTAAATTCTTATTCCTGGTTAATTGGGTACTTGCAAACTAGTCAAATTCAATGTTTTTTTTTCAAACTGTCAAAAACGACAGTTTTCTATGAATTTTGTACGAGATTGTGTATTGTGACGTCACGTTTTATTTGCGTTAAACAGCATACTTATTTCTTAGAAAATTGCTGGAGAAATACTAAAATTAAATTGGTAATAAAGTCGATTAATGAAAGTGTGATTATTTTTTAATATTTTATTGTATACAACGTGGGAATAATTTACTTTTTTCGATTAAGGAAAGTACAAAATGTCTCGAGTTGTCAAAATTTTATTATAAATATTTTGCCAACTAAAAACACAAATTAACTTTTTATTGCAAAAAGCTATCGCTACGTACAGTTACAAATCAAGCTATCAATAACCAGTATAAACTGATCGCCAAATGTGCAAAAACATCATACAAATCGAGACCAAGTTGAACTGGATGTGTTGGCTTGACGTGTAGTCGTGTGTATCAATCCAGTATAACCTGAACCTTTGAATATGAGGAAAGATTATACGAAGCGAGATCATAATATGCTGGTTGTGTATAGCTTGATATGTCGTGGTAAATATTTAGGCAATTAGCACGGGACATCGACCCCAGCAGATTAACTTGCCATGTCGAATGATCGATGACCACCTATTTGCTTTAGGACCTCCCCTATTGAGACGAAGCCTTTGTTCGCCACATCGATTTTTACTTCGATGTATGACAAAAGTTATTTTCCAAAAAAAAATACATAACTTCACTCCAGTCTCTTATGGAGGTAGGCAGAGACTATGGAATGTCAATTGCTACGATTCCTACATAGGTACCTCTTTCGCTTCATCAATAGTCATCAATCTTTTCATGCATGCTCGTCGGTTAAGGGTACTTTTAATTTGGTCCTTCTTTAATATATCGCCAAGCTGGTCAGTATATATCTGTCTAGGGCGCCCCCTACCAACGGCCTCAGTCATATCCGCTCTGTATACTTATTTCGTTACTCTACTTTCATTCATTCTTTCTACATGTCCAAACCAGCGTAACATTTCTTTTTCAATCATTGTCACTACATCATTTTTCACACTTTATCTAATAACACTATTTTTCACTGGACCCATACTCCTCAGGGCTCTCATATCCACCGCATTAATCCTGCTTATTTTTTTTAAACGTGCGCCACACTATAATTTTGTCTTGTGTCGTGGGTGCGTTTACAAAGATGCAAGTTCACATACACATGACACTCAGACCCGAAACAACAATCTGTGGATCACACAAAAAGTTGTTCCGTGCGGGAATCGAACCCGCGACACGTTGCGCAGCAGTCAGTTGCCCAGCAACCGCGCCGATCGTGCAGTCAATAACTTTATTGCATTATAACTTTTGTGAGACAAACTAAATTAATAATTATGTTTTTCGGGTTACTCAAGTAACTGTAGCACGACAGTGGCAGCGTCATGTGTCGCTGAGGCACTGAAAAATCCTAATAACACTTTACCCGGTCCCCGAGCGTCCCCGACACAAGGATCAACCTCAGAATCATTCTCAGAAGTACCTATTACCATTTCAAAGTCAAAGTCAAATTCAAAGCAGTTATTTCAATTAAACCATAATTTGTTTAATTAATTCAATTAAACCATAATTTGTTTAATTAATTCAATTAAACCATAATTTGTTATAGTAGTCTAACATGGTGCTCAAATATGCCTACTGACAATCATCACAAAAAAAAAACGGATGAAATAGATACACCTCTGATTTTCCCTTTTGGGTATCAAAGTTACGATAAAGCTGAAACCTTTTACATTCCTTGAAGAGTCATATACCAAAGCAAAATTGTGACAGGATAATAAAATTACCATTTCATATTACTTCATGTTTTATTCACGAAACTATTTTGTTACATACCTCGAGATCAGAAGAATCCAATTCTTTGATGGAATAAGGTAATTCCATTATGGACAACTAGCTTCAGCCAGCGGCTTGAACTGCGTTTCCTTGATAAAAAATACCCCAATTGTAATTCTGGCTAGATATTAGTTAATCAATCTCATTTATTTATTCATGTACACCACACAGACAATACACAGAAAAAATATATACATATATAACAAAACAGAGGTACATAGGTACTGCATATTCTTCCCTTCTGGGATTTCTTCCCGCAGCCCTGCGAGAGGAGAAATAAAGACATCATAATAATATGACATAGTGTGAAACAACAAAGAAAAACAAACAAGAAGAAGAGACAATGAAAACTTAAACTAATAATTAAACCTACTTACATATCTGTACCAAATGACATATTTTTCTGTCTTTTTTTGTTTTTATAAATTTTACCCCACACTAGGTCTTTCTCCTGTGTCGTGGGTGCGTTTACAAACATACAATTTCACATACACATCCCACACAGACCAGAAATAACAATTTGTGGATCATCACAAAGAGTTGATCCATACGGGAATCGACTCCGCTACTGCGTGACGGACGCGCCGGTTGCTTAACAACCACGCCTATCATGCAATCATCTAAATCCATCCATCAATTTTAACGTAAAGAAGTGACAAACGTACCTACATACATAATACAAACTTTAGCATTAATAATATTAGTAGATATGATATACCTTCTGACTGATTTTTTTTTTGTAATCCATTGAGAATTATTATTCTAGTAAATTTCCTTTTGTACCTTTTCCTAGTCCCAATGTGATTGGTATAAGTTGATGGTGGTTATCAGTCATATGTTTGCTATTCATATTTAGAATTTAATATAACTTACCAAAGTAATAAAAAATACTTATACCTGTATAAAAAATGGAGTAAGTTAGACTGATTTTAGTCCCACGCTGACCGTCAGCGCTCATAGGTCAGGGCGGGCCGTCAGCGCCGATGATCAGCGTGCGGTCAACGTCTTACAAATAAACTAATTTTGGGTCATTTCTTTTTACACTATTCCCTAAGTAATTACTATAAACTCTTTTTTCTGAAATTATATCGATTGAGGTATAATTATGAAACTGTTTATGTCATGGTACTAGGATTCCATTTTTTCTCAAAACATCATAAGGTAACCGATTTCAAAAAGTAATTATTGTCATTTATCAGGGAGCATCCACCTCTCGCTAAAGCACCTTTGACAATTTAATTTATGCAAAAAACGACTTTAAATTCCAAAACTAGTTTTTTTGAATGATAGTGTAGCGACAGCGCCATCATTATGTTTGTGGTCAATGACTCTAAAACCGTGAGGTCCATGTTGATGGCAATGAACTGAAACATCCAGATCTGTGTGACATACAATATAAAAGACTTAATTCATATACGCTTTGAGTACAGTTTGCAATAACATTTTGAAAATATTTAATATTCTAGCCACAAGAAATTATTTTTTTAGCTAAAGTTATTATTTTAGCAAAGATCTTCCCTTAGTATCATGATTAAAAATTGTATATTTTCGATTTCCTCTCATCTGGTTCTGTTCCAATGCAATTTACATTATATATAATTAGTTCGGGACAACGGCTTAGAAAAGAAAGCCTAACCACTAAAATGATAATGTCGAAACGACAAGATAATAGTATATTTAGGTAACAATTTCAATTCGTAATTGAAGACATCAAAGATTTTTTTATAAAAAATAACAGTATCAAACAGTAGGTAAAGTATTTTTTTAATATAGGATAGTCGAGGCCGGTAAACGAGCAGACGAAGCACCATCAGGTCTTGATGATGCTTCGGCGTCGCCCGTGGACACTCGGAACACCGGAGACGTTACAAATGCGTTACCGGCCTTTTGGGGATTAAGAATTTGAGGATTCTTGAAGATTCAGAGATTGGGGAAGGGGGAGGTAATTGAGCCTCCGGTAACCTCGTTTACACGACGAAACACAACGCCACGTCGGTTTTCTGTGAGACTGTGGTATAATTCCGGTCCAGCTGACCCATTCGTGCCGAAGCATGGCTCTACCACAGTTAAATAAATTAGTATAATTTATAATAGTAAAAAACTGCTATAATTGACTGACTAACCGTACAACAGGTTTGGTCGAGCAAAAACCTGTTGAAATTTAATAGTATCAAAGTACGAAGATAGTAATGAGATATTTTTTACTCACTTTTTTGTACGACAAAATGGTCAACTGTCGAGTAGAACTTCCATTAGAATTTTGCCAAGTAAATGAAATATTTTCCATTAGCTTTAATTACATGCTTATTTAATAAGTAAACATATAACATGACACAAAATAAATAGCGAAACGAAACGATAAATTTAAATAAATATGATGACCGAGTATTATTTTATGGATTAAAACGCAGTCAAATGTAGAATGTCTTAAATCTTAATACAATTCCGATCAATTATAAGCTATAGCATAATCTGTTAATAAAAAAATAATTTTGGATTACAAAAATACATATATCACTATTCACTATATTATAATCAAAACATTATCTAAATTTCAATTCTTAAAATCCATTCCAATTCTTCCAGACGATGGATTCTCACTCTTCGCATTCCATGGAAACCTTAACCAAGAAATGGAAGGACTAGAAGCTGGGCAGTGGGCCCGTGACATCACGAAACCCAAAAATGGAACCTGGTACTTCAGAGATAGAAATGTTGAACTGAAACTTGGAGACAAAATATATTTCTGGACTTATGTTATCAAGAATGGATTGGGTTACCGACAGGATGATGGAGAATGGACTGTTACTGGTAAATATTTTATTAACTTCTATGTGACCGGACAAACTTCGTCATCATCATCATCATCATCATATCAGCCATAGGATGTCTACTATTGAACATAGACGACCCCCAATGACTATGACAACATCGTAACACCTAAATTTTTTTTTCTCACCTTTAAAACCTTATCTGAACTTCCACGAACATTTCAAACCGATTTGGTCTGGGAACCGATTAGGGCCAAATTAGCCAAATCGGTTCCTCCGTGCTCTGGTTTAAGCAAAACTAATGAATGGACTTACGTTATTTTCCTCGTAAATTATTGTTATTGAATACCATTTGTCATTGATTCGACCTTAAAAAACTTTTTCTTGAATATTATTGAATTATTCTATATAATATTATTGAAGAAAAAGTAACGCAACCATCACGTATATCTTCCAGGATTTGTAAATGAAGATGGAACTCCAGTAGATCCATCAGTAGCTCCGACACTAGCACCAGTCTCAGCGCCCACTCAGCCCTCTGTCGCACCACCTCCTTACCGTGCTCCCACCACGGCTCCTCCAGTACAATGCCAACCATCTGCCACAACCGTAGCTGGTCGTGGAGCCATCTGCCAGGGTGAGCTCATCTTTAACGAAGAGTTCAGCGGCTCTGCGCTAAAGGACCTCAACAATTGGACCCCTGAGATCAGATTTCCTGAACAACCGGTATGTGAAAGTTATTAAAGGTGACGTTTTAATAAAAGTGCGACTGTTATTTCTGAACCGAACCTTATAGTATAAGGGACGGGAATCTGCAACTGTAACATGTTTGTTATTGTGTTTCGTAATTATTTTTTAAATTCGTTTCAAGATCTTGTGTGCTGGGTGCATATAAAGACAGCTCAAACCTGGAAAAACTATTGAGATCATACAAAGGATTGTTGTGACTCACGTTGTGCAGCAACTGGTTAACCAGCCACTACACCAACTCTGCAGTTATTAACCAATCTTACCTTAGATTCAATACCAGACATTTAATCGTACCTTTTCTCATTCCAGGACTATCCCTTTAACGTGTACGTACCAGACAACACTATAAGTTTCGAGGATGGGTCCCTGGTCATCACACCAGTTCTGACGGAATCTATGCACCATGAGGGATTCCTCGTCGAGTCATTAGATCTTACTAACAGGTTGGTGGTCTTTGGTGCACTAGTAGTTTATTTTTTATTGAAATAGGAAATAAATTTTATTGGTTATTGTTTTTTTATGATATAAGACGCAGACGGATCACCTGATGGTAAGCAATCGGCGTCGTCCATGGACACTCGTAACACCAGAAGCGTTACAAGTGCGTTGTCGGCCTTTTAGGATTAGGAATTTAACGATTTTTTGGAATTCTGACAATGGGGATAGTGTTACAATATATAATAGTGTTACAATATGGTAGTCTTACATTATGATAGTGTTACAATATGATGCAATTTTATTAGTTACATGATAATATAACTACATATTATTTACTTTAGCTTTTAATTCTCGAAGAGCTACGAAGAGGTGGCATTTTCGCCAATTATGCTAAATTATAATAACTCTCTTTAAAACTTATTTAAAATATTTGTTCGCACAGATTTTGCATTTAGAGACGAATGCAAAAGTGTTATTAACAAACAAAACATCAATGGCAGTCGTTAATCTAAAAGTTTAATTAATTAATGTTAATATTAAACGGTACAAAGCCACGGTTTAGTAAATTTCCTGTCGCTCGTTATACATTCGCCGGATGAAGACATCTCAAACATCAAACAACTTTTGAATCAATTACATTTATTGTCGGGACCAACTTCCTTCGCTTAAATTATTAAGAAACACGAAATTAATTATTCAACCTTAATTATTTTGGTTCGGGAAATTATACTTTTTTATTAGGGATTATTTTTTTTGTATTTGATAATTTAATGAAAAGAATACAATATAATAATAGTTAAAAAATTACTTTAAAACTTTTTTTTTTGAACTTCGCACAAACCGATATATTTCTCCACTCCATTATTGACTGTCTGAGCACGTCAGCATGCTTTAAGGTCACCATACCCGGCCATGTATGTGAAAAGATATAAAAAATACCAGTTTTTAAATTCGCCAATGTTTTCCATATACACATATTCCATACACAAATATACATAGATTTCTCACGCCCGTAGTAAAGTCAAAAATACTACGAGGAAAGTCTATGTTCAGCAAAAAACTTATTCTATCTGATGATGGGTTTTTTTTATATTTGATGGGTCGACGTTTAGCCACTATCTCGCCTGGTGTTAAGCGATGAAGCAGCCTACGATGGAGCTCGTCTGCCCTTTAGCAACACATTTTGATAATAATAATGACTTAAAACATATTTATTTCACGTTTCCAGATGTACTGGTCAGTTAGGCACAACAGAATGCAGACGAGAGGCGTCTGGTGCCCAAATTCTACCTCCAGTTACTACTGGCAAGATCACTACACGCCACAGGTTCGGTTTCAAATTTGGAAGGATAGAAGTCAGGGCCAAACTACCAGAAGGCAGCTGGCTTATACCTGGTAAGTTCCAATTTATTGTACCATGTCATTCAGATGATGATGGCAGATTACTAAGAATATATATTGGTCATAAAATATCTTCCGCGGATGTCGTAAATAGCCGTCTAGAGGACTACACCGTTTAAAGTGACCAGGTAGCACTGTAGCAGCGCTCTCTGACAAGTTTTCCATTGTAAAAATTATGGGAAATCCTCCTGTGAAGAGGAGATCCATAGTCTAGCCAAGAGCTGCTGATTATATATGTATATATATCGTTAAAATTTAAATTACGTATTCTCCGAAGGTGAACCTACTTTTATTTCTATTGTTATTAATATATAGATACTTACGATTTGATTTTTTTGGAATATTAAATGTAATCCCAAAGATGAACTACCTACTGAAACCATTGGAATCATGTAACATGTATATTTTCACAATATTTTCTTCCACCGTATTATTTTTCTTTTTTTTCCAGAAATTAACTTGGAACCTACAGAACATGTCTACGGATCCCTTCGCTATGAATCGGGATTGATTCGTATTGCCTTCGCTCGAGGAAACCCAAGTCTTGCCAAGAAGCTGTGCGGTGGCCCCATCCTGTCTGACTCGGATCCCTTCAGATCCTTGCTGATGAAAGAAAAGATTGGAATCGACAACTGGAACAAGGATTACCATAACTACACCTTGATTTGGAGGCCTAGTAAGTTTGAAGTTATTTTTTTAGATAGAAGAAGAAGTTAGGAAAATTATTTCGAAGCATTCCAAAACAAATTGGGTCATCATCAGTTACCCTAATTATTTTTACTATCATACAAGGTGATATTTGATAAGAAAAGGACGTCTCAACAGTCAAGTTAAGTCACCCATAGCTTGGAAAATTGTTACGATTCTTAAATACCCCTTTTGCTACGTCAACAGTTATAAGTCTTTTCATTATATTATTTAACCCTTAGATCGATCCAGATATTTTGAATTAATATCAGTCATTAAATTCAGCTGTTAATAAAATCTGTTTCATCAATTTTTTTTTTTTTATTTTAAACTGTCGAACACCAAGCGGTCACCGGTGACCGCAACCTATTGTTCTATAATTGTGTCTACAAAACCGGTACTCGACGAGTTAAGGAGGGAAAATCATCGAATGACTTCTCCCGCCTGGGTGAGGCGGGAGGGAGTGTCAGACTCTTACTGACTAAAAACCATCCCGTTCCTGCTCCTGCATTTCGAGACGGAGACCCGATTACCCGTTAGGTTCTCCGCGGCTTCATCAAAAAACTTGGAAATACTTAGTATTACTAATTACTAAGACTAAACCTTCAAATAATTTTCAGATGGTCTTCAACTCTTCGTGGACGGTGAGCAGTACGGGAACATTGACCCTGGCGATGGTTTCTTCTCTACCGCTCGGCAGCACGCAGTCCCTCATGCTTCTAACTGGTTGAGAGGAACTGTCATGGCGCCTCTTGATGAAACGGTAATATATTGTTAAATTACATTTAGTTATTTTTATTATGGAATAGGGTAGCAAACGACATGACATATCGCCTAACGAGTTAGCAATCGGCACCAACCATAGACACTAGGGAAGGTACAATTGCGTTGCTAGTCTTTTGGGGATTATGGAGCCGCGGAGGACTTAACGGGCTGCCGGGGCCCCAGCTCAAAGTTCAGGCGTTGGGACGGAATGGTTTTTAATCAGTAAAAGTCTCATACTCCCTCTCGCCTCACCCGGGTTGAGATCAGACATTGGATGATTCCCTCCCCCCCTTTCCCCCTTGTGGGTAAGAGGATTAGACCTCCAGATCCGTGACACAACACTTGCGTCGTGTTCTATGTGGCCATGGTATCACTATGAATGAGCAGACATATTTGTGCTGCATCTCCCACGTTATTTAATTTTCTGAAAATGAGCTAGAAACAAAGTAATACTTTCACACATCGATACTTTAATTCAAAGCTAGCTGACTAGCCTGAGAAGAAATTTCGAAACAAATTCAGAGGTATACATAAATATTGTAAGTTTTTGATAGGCATTTAATATGCCTATCAAAAATGGACACAACAGTCCATTGTCAAAACAATTGAAAGTCAATATAGTCAACCAATTCTCCAATTTGAAAATTGAAACTGTCGAAAATCACACTCAACCAAAAAAAAACAGCAAGTAAGATAAATGTGAAAGAAGATAAAAATAGCCTAAGGTCCAAGACAATCCTCAACAAAAATCCAAGAATAAGTCACATGGGACCTCTAGACCAAAGATTAAAAACATTTTATTTTTGGCACGCCCTCTAGAGGACTGCGACAATTATTTTTGATTTCTCGAAGGTCCTCCCTGAGCAAAATTGGGAAATATTGCGTTGGAGGCCCATTGAAAAATTCATCTTATGTCATCTTTTGTAAGATAAACATAAATAATAGTTTTCGATACGAATGGGTCGACCCGATTGAAGTGATACTACGGCTTTAAAGAAAACCAAAGTGAAGTAATGCTTGCATCGTGTTTCATTGTATGAGGTTATCGTAGGCTCAATCTCCTTTCCCAAAACACTGGCAACGCACTTGTAACGACTGCACGGTTGGCGCGGTGGCCGGGCAACTGGCTGCCGCGCAACGTGTCGCGGGTTTCATTCCCACACAGAACAACTCTTTGTATAATCCACAGATTGTTGTTCCGGGTCTGGGTGTCATGTGTATGTGAACTTGTATGTTTGTAAACGCACCCATGACACAGGAGAAAATACTAAAGTGGGGCAACGTTTTTTATAAAAAACAAAATTATATATATGTAGGTGTCCATGAGTAGAATTGCTTTGATTGCTTACTAACTGGTGATCAGTCAGCTCCTTTACCGCCACATCCCATAAGAAATGTTACCCTAGCATTGACGGTATTGGAAAAAAAGATATGAACATAATAATTGCTTCTGACTTGCCTATCTCGAAGACACGGAAGACAATGATGTTCAGCAATGGACATCTTGTGGTTTATATAATGTCGATGGTCAAAAATCTAACCGTAGTTCCTTCTTCCAGTTCTACATATCCCTTGGTCTTCGCGTGGGAGGTGTCCATGATTTTGCTGATGATATTCCTGACAAACCCTGGAGGAACCGAGGCAGTAAGGCCATGTTGGACTTCTGGAAACACAAGACATCCTGGCACCCATCCTGGTACAACTCCAACTTGAAAGTGGACTATGTCAAAGTTTTCGCGTTGTAGTTTTTGTATTGTAAATTATGAACTGTGATGAATCTGAGATTAAAATATGTATAAACAATTTATGTATGAATAAGAATTAAATAATTAAATGATAATTTTGATATTAGTTTGTTTTATGTTACTTCTATTAAACCTTGAACTTTGTTTAATCGTTTATCCTTTCACCATCCACCCGAGACACAATTTATTAGCTATTGTGTCTCATATCGATGCATTCAAGCAGTTAATCCTACGACTGGCGCTATAATAGAACTTAAGAGTGTACAATATATAAAAAACTATAAGATTACCTACTAAACAATCTACAATAAATAAAAATGAATTTCCGTTCGTTAGCCTCGATAAAACTCGAGAATGGCTCAACCGATTTCGCTAATTTTGTACTTGAAATGCTCATGGAAGTCTAGAGAAGGTTTTTGGCGCGCTACGAAGTTTGCCAGGTCAACTAGTAAAGAATAAAGAACGCTGGTACAGTGACTCATTTGTTTTCCACGATAAAGTATACTCTGTGCCAGTCTTTTCGCTCTTGTTGCTAAATTTTCTTTTCTTCTGTAGGTATATTTGCTTACGTTATCCTGAATAACCTTCAGTAATATGTAATGATAAATACTGAGTCAACAGTTTTAGTTTCGGTAAGGACGTAATTTTTGACGAACTAAGTATTCTGAATTTTTTCACATTATTTTAAGTCATCATCATCATCTATAAATGCCCACTGCTGACCAAAGGCCTCTCTTTCCTCTCATACGTAAAAGGTTTTCATTATTCACCACGCTTGCTTAATGCAGATTGGCGATTTCAAACTTATAATTAGATATTATAAGCCCAGGGGTCCTGTTTTTATAATAACTATCGTGAGACATACTAAATTAACTAAAAATCGTGGGTTACTCACGTGAATATACTGAGAAAAGCTCTACTAGTTTAGAACCACAAAGGGGTTCTTCCTCATGAGCAGCGTGCGCGGTCGCGGCGATGTAGGCGACATCGCCCGCAAAGGTCCTGTTAGTTACTCCTGCCTGTTGTCTAAATAATCTTAGAAAGTACATATAACTCGGGAAATGTCATATTGGTATTTTGTTGTTTGCCGTTGTTAGGTTTTGAACCCACGCCCTTCGTCTTAAACTTCCGAGCCATCAAAATAACTATTATTTTAAGTCACTGCACTGAAAACAAAATGTGCTGCACTTTTTTTTAAGGAGGGAAAATCATCGAATGGCTACACCAGCCTGGATGAGATGGGAGGGAGTGTTAGACTCTTACTGACTAAAAACCACCCCGTTCCTACTCCTACACTTGGAGCCGGAGCCTCAGTAACCCGTTAGGTTCTCTGCGACTCCGTATCGGCATCAGACTGCACTCGCAGTGGCAAGTACCAACAAAATTTACGAGTCACCTTAATATCGAAAAACAAAAGAATTAATAAACACCTATACATACTTCTAAGAACGAAAAAGTATTAATGTCGAAATTTTCCTTGTATTACGTGCCCCCGGTAAAACCTGACCTGCCGAAACCGGCCCGAAAGACGAAACTTATATTTGCAAACTTTTTAATTTTGGTCAGTCTGATATTTTACGGAGACATGACGTGCTGTGCAAAAATTATTTACATATTAGTGTTTGTTGCACTATGCGATGGACAGACAGATTTTCCTATCGCGACTCCTACAGTGGAAGCATTACAACCAAAAGGCTTTAGAGTAATACTAAAAGGTGAGCTGTATTTTATTACATAGTCATATTTATTATAGGAAAAATAAACTATTTATAAGGCATCGAAAAACTCGTCCGCATCGACGTCAGTGGGGAAAGTACCCAGAAGGCTGGCAGCATTGCCACGTTGTATGGCAATGCTTAACCTCTGACCGAGAAAAAGACCAGCCCTCTGGTCACGAGATGTGTCGACCAGGCGTTTCGAAATGTTTTTGAACAATTTAAGCGCACTCGGACCCCACGGACCTAACTAGTTTATTTTTCCTATAATTAATTTTAATCATAAGTTGTATATATTTAATTTAGTAATATTTAGTTTTAATTTTATTTATGTAATAGTTGTTATTTAAGTTTTTTTTATTCACGTAATATGAATTATTTCATAGAATAATAAGTCATATTTTATATAATGTATTTAAGTATGTATGTATGTAATGTACACACGGCCACATATCAATCTGTACAAAACTAGTTTATCCTGGTATCGCGTCGCATCATCTTTCCGCACATTTAACGTTCAGTTTATACTGGTTATGTAAAGCTCGAAGTGTAGCCCTGTGTACATGTATTACTTTATAATTATGTTAAACTAATTATTATATTGTTGAACTTGTCTTAACATGTCTGTCTTCTTTGATTTTTGAAAAACGTTGCCCGACAATAGGTTGTTCTTTGTATGTCGTGGGCGCGTTTAAAAATATACACGTTCACGTACACAATGACACCCAGACCCGAAACAATAATTCATCACACATAGAGTTGCTCCGTGCTTGAATCGAACCTGCGACACGTTGCACGGCAGCCGGTTGCAGCCCAGCCATCGTGCAAATCGTGCAGTCAATCGAAATTAATAATGATAATACGTGACATCATGGTGTTAAAAGTGACGAATTACACAAATAATCTTTTTTATTTTTTATTTTAACTTTAAACAACGAGTGTGTACAGGTGGACTTAATGCCTTGGGCATTGTCTCCCAGTCAACCTTTAAGCAGTGCAGAGATGAAAGTAGCAGGTGATTTACCTAAACCTTTATAAATAGGCAATGTACCAGTATAGTACAGTAATCTTATACTTATAGTATAGAGTTTGTTTTTTTGTTTGAACGCGCTAATCTCCGTAACTACAAGTCTGATTTGAATAATTCTTTTTGTGTTGGACAGCGCATTTATCGAAGATGGCTCTAAGCTATAAAACATCACGCTACGACCAATAGCAGCTGAGCAGAGCGTGTGAAACCGCGCGGAAGTAGCTAGTAATATAATAATCCCCCATGCCGGTTTCGGACACGGCGGCCGTTTCATAACTACTGGCGTCTATCATGGGCTCTCATGTGGCTGGAAAATCCACCTTTGTTTATACATATTCTTTGACAGAGTGGACACGTGAGAACACCATAATATAACATAGTGAATTGCCGGTGGTGGTCGATGAATTACACAAAATTAGTCTCACGTAGATATTTTTTAATTATGGAATAGGCTAGTAAGCGAGCAGATGGATCACCTGATGGTAAGCAACCGGTGACGCCCATGGACATCTTGGGAATTAGAAAATTGAAGATTGTGGGAGATTCGGGGATTAGAGAGACTGGGAAGGGGGAGAGGCAAGTGTTGTTTCACGTTGATTTTCTGTGAGGCCGTGGTATCACTCCAGTCAAGCCGTTCCATTCGTGTCGAAGCATGGCTCTCCCACACTTTTTTATTTTTATGTATGTACTTTTTTCATGTAAATTTCATTTTATGAAAAGTGCTGTTACTTTGTAGTGGCATTAAGTGCCGTAATGTGTAGAATAAGAAGAAGAATAAGAACGTTTATTTGCACGAAGTATTGTAATTACAGGTAATAATAGATAATTATAAAAAATAGTCCCACATACATCGCCTACTGTTTTTGGCATGCAAAGTTAAAATTTACAATAAAATCAAGTTAAAATGTTACAATTAGTAGAAATTAATTACAAGAATGCTTACAACTAGGATAACATACCTGTACCACTGTCTATCCCTTCGGGGTTAAAACGCGTGACGTTATGTAATAATATTTCAACGGATTTGTTTTTAGATGACGGCTATTCGTTCGTTGGGTTCCGAGGAAATATCAACGTTGATTTCAACAATGGTCTTAATGAGGGCCAAATACACAAAGATATTACGCATCCACAAAAAGGCTACTGGATCTACAGGAATCGTGAGGTGAAGTTGGATATTGGAGACACATTGTATTACTGGTTGTTTGTCCGGAAGAATGGAAAGGGACAATTTTTGACTGAGTTGGCATACACAGTAACTCGTAAGTATTTATTTGTGTAACAATTTATTATCAAGAACTAACTCCTGTGACAAACGATAAGCTGTAAACAGAGAATCTAAGACCGTCATTCATTTCTCTTGGACACTCCTGCAGAATAGCGTGCAGGAGTTGCAGCGGTTTTGGGAGGTAATAGTAGACTTGATCCATAAAAAGAAGTTATATAACTGTACAGTTTAGTCACATACACGCTAGGGCTTGCCTGTCGGTTATGCATGCATGGCTAAAACCATCATGCAAAACCTACCGTGTATGGCTTCCTTTATGCTTGTCGGTTTTGCATGCAAAGTTATAAACATCATGCATAACCTAGCGTGTATGGCCTCCTTTACGGTTAGTTAGTAGCTTCAATTATACTGGATAAAAAATCTTCAATTATACGGGGAACAAAATCTTCAAGTACTGGGCAAAAAATCTTAGCACTTCCTACTTATTAAAAAATAATCTGTTATTCTTTTTTGTAGATGTAATAAATATGAATCAAAATAGAGACCGAAATAGGTATATATGTTAGTGCCCTAATCCCAAACTACTAAACCAAATTGAATAATTGTTCTTCGTCTGGTTAATGAACGTGAGGACAAGGTTTGTATGTCGGGATGTCCGGAAACATCGAGGCACAACACCTTGGTTAAAAAACTTGAATAAAATAAAATATTACTATTTTATAATAATATTATTATATTTCTAGAATTCGTAAATGAAAACGAAGCACCAGCATTACCGAAATCTGATAGTCAGCTGGAGTCTAGATTGGATCCTATAGACCAATCCTGTACAGCATCCAAAACCTTGGTCCAAGGCAAGTCCCGTGTCTGCGAGGGCGCTCTCATTTTCAACGAAGACTTTGATAATCCCAACCTTAATCAATGGACCCCAGTGGTACAGTTTCCAGGAGAACCGGTCAGTATCATTTTAAAACCAGGTGAATTTATCAACATACAGAAAAGCAAAAATGTATCTTACTATCCGAGTATCGGTGTAGGTGGCAGTCTTCGGTGCCTGCCGAATTGCTGAAATATGAAACTTCTCTTTTTCTGTGTACGTCCTAGGGCATCAATTCAAGTAAGTCACTTTACTCAAAAGTCTAGTTAAGTATAGTAGTCCATAGATACATGTAAACAATGATTAGAAAGTGAGCTTCCAGTCTAATGTTGATTGCCATTTCAGGATTATCCGTTCAATGCATATGATAATATCCCGGATCGCAATCTCAATGTCAAAGATGGATCCTTGGTCATCACTCCAATACTGACGGAATCACTGCACGGAGAAGACTTCATCTATAATTCAGTCTTAGATTTAGACGAAAGGTACCATCTTTAATTATTATTGTCTACTCTAAATTATTCATTGGCCTGTTGCTTAGCTTCTATTTGTGGGTTTTACTCATTATTAACTATCGAGCTGCTTCAAGACACCGAGGAATGGGCTGCAGCATTCCATAAATATATCGGTGACCTAACTGCGATCCCCAAGCCGCCTGCCAAGCGTGGGGATTATGGCAAACCCCCCCCCCTCACTATGAACGGCAACCTAAATACACGGCCCCCAGTCCCCGGCAGCTCCGCTATCCCTGATCTTGGTAGCGGATCGGGTAACGGCGGAGCAGGGGGTGCTAAGAATCCCCGGCAGATGAACCGCTACCACCCCCGACGAACTTTGGCCCTGGCAACACATAACATCCGCACACTGCGGACCGATGAGAAGATTGTCGAGCTGGAGGAAGAATTGAGCAAAATGCGTTGGGACATCTTGGGACTGTCTGAAATCCGAAGAGAGGGCCAGGATACGATGGTCCTGGATTCCGGCAACTTGCTCTTCTTCCGGGAAGGAGATCAAAAATCCCAGGGTGGTGTCGGATTTCTCGTCCGCAAGTCCCTCGTCAACAACGTGAGTAAAGTTGACAGTGTGTCGAGCAGGGTAGCGTACCTTATACTCAGAATATCACACCGGTATTCGCTGAAGGTCATACAGGTATATGCGCCGACCTCGACACACTGCGATGATGAAGTAGAGGCTCTGTATGAGGAAATTTCCCAAGCCATACACACCTCCGAAGCTCACTTCACCGTTGTCATGGGGGATTTCAACGCGAAGGTGGGCACACGGAACGGCGAAGAGCTGAGAATGGGGCCATTTGGGTATGGGCAGCGAAACCGTCGGGGCCAGCGGCTGGTCGACTTTATGGAGAGGGAGAGACTCTTTCTAATGAACTCCTTCTTCCGAAAGCGACCAGCTAAGAGGTGGACGTGGATAAGCCCCGATGGTTACACCAAAAATGAGATCGACTTCATCATGGCGACCGACAAGCGCATATTTAGTGATGTCTCTGTGATAGCTAAGGTGAAAACCGGCAGCGATCACCGTATTGTCAGAGGCACACTGAATATCAATGTCAAGCTGGAGAGGTCACGCCTGGTGGGGTCCACACTCCGTCCTGGTCGCGCCCAGGTCCAGAACCCCGAACAGTTCCAGCTCCAACTGCATAATCGCTTCCAGTGCCTGGCTGAGTGTGAAACGATTGACGAGTTAAATAATGGGTTAGTGGAAACTGTCCAAGCGGTGGGCTCAGAGTTTTTCAAAAACCCACGCCGAAATAGACCTCAAAAGCTCTCGAAAGAAACACTGAAATTATTGAAAGACCGTCACGAGATGAGGCTGCAGTCTTCAGTTGACATGTCTGGATATGGCAAACTTAATAGGCGAATTTCAAAGTCTATGCGACGCGACCTGCGTGCATATAACGCCGCACGAGTCAGGGATGCCATAGAGCGAAATCAGGGTGCAAAAGTATTCGCAAGGAGTTCGTCGGTTGGGCAAAGCCAAATGACGAAACTGAAGACCGAAAATGGCAGCATCGTTTCGTCGAAGCCAGAGATTCTGAGAGAGCTTGAAAGGTTCTACGGACAGTTATACACCTCGACACGGCAACCCATTGTCGGTACAGCTCGGGATCCAAGAGCTAAACTGACACGGCACTATACCGAGGATATCCCAGACATCAGCCTGTATGAGATTAGGATGGCTCTCAGACAGCTCAAAAATAACAAGGCACCGGGTGATGACGGAATCACAACAGAACTTCTGCGAGCGGGTGGAAAACCGATACTTTTAGTCCTCCAGAAACTATTCAATTCCGTCATTCTCGAAGGAGCTACGCCGAAAGCATGGCAAGAGAGTGTAGTGGTTCTGTTCTTTAAGAAGGGTGACAACTCCTTGTTGAAGAACTATAGACCCATCTCGCTTCTGAGCCATGTATATAAGCTGTTCTCTAGGGTCATCACGAACCGTCTCGAACGCAGATTTGATGACTTCCAGCCTCCCGAACAAGCCGGGTTCCGGAAAGGCTTTAGCACCATAGACCACATTCATACGCTGCGGCAAGTTATACAGAAGACTGAGGAGTATAACTTGCCACTATGCTTGGCGTTCGTGGACTATGAAAAAGCCTTTGATTCGATCGAGACCTGGGCGGTGCTGCAGTCTCTCCAGCGATGCCATATCGACTACAGATATATCGAGGTGCTAAAGTGTTTGTATAGAAACGCCACTATGCGCATCCGACTCCAGGAAGATAGCACGGAACCAATCCAATTGCAGAAAGGCGTGAGACAGGGAGACGTGATTTCTCCGAAACTGTTCACCAACGCATTGGAGGACGTTTTCAAGCTTTTAAACTGGAGTGGACTGGGTATCAATATCAATGGCGAATACATCACACACCTCCGCTTCGCCGATGATGTAGTCATCATGGCGGAATCGCTGGAGGATCTGAACACCATGCTCAGCGACCTCAATATCGTCTCCCAACAGGTGGGTCTTAAAATGAACATGGACAAGACCAAAATCATGTCAAACGTCCATGTTGCACCTGTACCGGTCATCGTTGGGAACGATATCCTCGAAGTTGTAGACCACTATACATACTTAGGGCAGATTATACAGCTAGGTAGGTCCAATTTCGACAAAGAGGTCGCCCGAAGAATCCAACTTGGATGGGCAGCGTTCGGGAAGTTACGCGAAATCTTCTCATCGAAAATCCCTCAGTGCCTAAAGACCAGGATGTTCAACCAGTGTGTGTTGCCGGTGATGACATATGGTACCGAGACGTGGTCCCTGACCTCTGGCCTTCTGGAGAAGCTCAAAGTCGCTCAGCGTGCGATGGAGAGAGCTATGCTCGGGGTTTCTTTGCGCGACAAAATCCGAAATATGGAAATTCGCCAAAGAACAAGAGTTACCGACATAGCTCGCAAAATCTGCAGACTAAAGTGGCAATGGGCAGGCCACGTCGCTCGAAGGACTGACGGCAGATGGGCCAGGAAAGTCCTTGAGTGGAGACCACGGACCGGAAGACGAAGCGTGGGCAGGCCTCCCGCTAGGTGGACCGACGACATCGCCAGAGTTGCGGGGAGCCAGTGGATGCGGGTGGCGAGTTGTCGTTCGACGTGGAGGGCTAAGGGGGAGGCCTTTGTCCAGCAGTGGACGTCTTCCGGCTGTTGATGAGCTGCTTCAAATGGTTTTCCAACTTTCGATTATTGCCTGTCTATTACAAAAATAAGAAAAATTATCCAGCTGCGAATGGTATCAAGGTCTATTGGTAATGATAACTAACTTATTCAATTTCGAATTTTTGTTACATCTGACTCAACTTCGCAGATGCACAGGTGTACCTCAATCATCTGAATGCAGAGCAGAAGCTACGGGAGCTCAGATCCTGCCGCCCGTTATTACAGCCAAGGTCACGAGTCGATACAGCTTCGTCTTCACATTTGGAAGAGTAGAAGTACGCGCCAAGTTACCTTACGGCAGTTGGCTGGTACCTGGTAAGACAATAAACTATTAAACATGGTTGCACATTCTAGCTTTAAAATGTTACATCGTTACCACTACGCCAAATGGTTGATGCTCAGTTTAAAGGCTCGAATCCACGGTGCTGGGTGAGGCTTAAGGGGGGTCTTACTCTTACTGACTAAACCACCACAGTCCTGCTTCGAGCCGGGGCAATAATAACGTATGGCGACTTTATGCGCAACCTCAGAAAAAACTAGTCAACGTTTACTGTATCACAATATTAAGTGCTACAGAAGTTTTTTCTTACAGAGATCAACTTGGAACCGTTGGAACATGCGTATGGACGTAACTACGAATCAGGTTTGATGCGCGTAGCTTTTGTGCGCGGAAACTCCTTCTTTGCCAAAAAACTCTATGGAGGGCCTGTTCTGGGTCAGTCTGAACCTTTTAGGTCTGAGTTACTGCAGCAAAAGCTTGGAAATGACAACTGGTACAAGGACTTTCACAACTATACCTTGATTTGGAAACCAGGTGAGAAGTTATTTAAACAAATATTTGCATTATTAATTGAATGAACTTCTGTCTATATATATACAAAAGCAAATAAAAAAATATTAGACCATCTTTGAAATTTATCACGTGTCATAAGTACGTAGATTGGTGCCCGATAGATTTATCAAAAATAGGTAGTTCATATAAGGGGCAAGTTAACAATAAATTCGTCATTTATTAAAGATGGCATAGAGCTACTGGTGGACAATGAGAAGTATGGCGTTGTGAACCCTGGAAGTGGCTTCTCCGAGAAGGCAGAGAAGCACAACATCAAACACGCCACGTCTTGGAATAAGGGCACTATCATGGCGCCTTTTGATAAAATGGTAAGGAATTGATGAAGAAAATTATAATCTGATAATTTTCCATATAATTTTACTCGCTGCTCATCTTCAATTGGGCATACCGTGATGTTGAATAGTCTATCTGCAGCCTTCCAAGATACAAGGCGGATTTAACACAAAAATAGTGCAATCCCTACATTATTACCTCTTTTCCAGTTCTATTTGACCTTGGGTCTTCGAGTGGGAGGTATCAACGACTTTGAAGATGCAGTGGACAATAAGCCCTGGAGAAACAGTGAAAGCAAGGCCACGCTAAACTTCTGGAACTCTAAAAGTTCCTGGTACCCCAGCTGGACTAATAGTGCTCTAAAAGTTGACTCTGTTAAAGTATATGCTCTGTAGGTCATATGCAAAAAATATATTTTTGAATTTGCTCGTGTTCACTTTTTGAATTCCTATTAGAGGGTCCTGTCGTAATGCATATTTTAGCAGTTTTTTTATACTAATAATATTTAACATAATAGGCTTGTGTCAACTAACAATAAAACCAATGGATGAATGGTTCTAGGCGTAAATTTTAATATTTAAACAAGGAAAACCGAATTAATTCCTCATAAAAAATAAGACTATTGTTATTTTTACAAATTAAAATAAAAGAGTACTTCCCTGGCCCCTCCGCCGTGAACGCCAATCAGAACGTATTACGTCACATAGTGATATATAAAATTTGACAGATTATTCTTCGGACGTTTAATGTCATTTCGACAAAATCAAAATAGTTATAGTTAGTTATCGTTTGACTTTAGTTTTGGTTAATTTTTATTGAAAAATGAATGAAAGTAATTACAAGTCTTCGTTTTATCACGGTTGCTTCGTATGAGCAACACGTAGGCCACCAAAGGAACCACGTAAATGACTATATTAAATCAATGTACAGTCAGCTCAAATAGTTGTTAACATGAACCTTTACAGTTTATATGTCTAAGTCTAAGACAGTTAGTAACGTTTTTATGGTATTCAAATACTTATTTGAATACCTTATGTATTGTACATAAATGTTTTATGTGTAAGGTTTTACTTTAACACTAATAATACCGCTAGAAAAATAAACTTAAGTATTACTAGTACATATTTTTGCTATTTTTGCACATCTATTAATATAAAAACATTTATAGATAAGATAAATTCTTTCAAAAATATATTCGTCATAACACGAAATAATTTAGTCTCTTCAAATTCTCATGTAGACATTTATAATTTTTAAACTGACTGTACTAAAATAATACGAAAAAAATTTGGTTGTCATGGTATTTTATAAATAAATGTCAATATGTGACAATACCAACATTCTAAAACTTTTTAACTTAATCGTATAATAAATCTTTGAAAGGAATTCCTATCCTGTTTAAGATTTTCTATCTTAAACTTTCACTTTAAAAGCTTATTCATGATTTTCTTGATGAATATGTGTGCTAAGCCATGGCATTATGAATTTAGTAATAAAATTTTATAACCTATTTATTGCCTATTTATTTATCTTCATTTCATTCGATCATTTTAGGTTCGTGACCGATTCCGAAATGTTGTTTGCGGCTACAAACGAAACTTCTCATTTGAGAACCGGAGTAGACCTCCAGTTTTAACCACTGGGGCACTATATAGATTTTAAAATACGAAGTTTCCATTGTTATTTAAACAAATCAAACTTTCGGCGTGAGTGAACACAATCGCTCGCAACTAAGTGACGTCATTCATAACGCTGTGACATTTTCTTGTGTTTTTACGACAGATTGAAAATATTTTTATAAACTTAAAATATATGTTTTAAATATAGTTAATTTTTATATATCAATTTTTTTTGAGGTAATACAGGTACTAAACTAACGAAATAAGCGATTTTTGAAACTTATGAAACCTATTTTACTCGACAAAATAATTATAATGAAAGAAAAAAAGGCAATTTGTTTTCAATCAAAAAAATCTATTTGTAAAACATTTATGAGTTTATTTAGAATCCACTTCAATAATATTGTAATTGAAGCAATATGCTTCTACCTAGTTTAATCTTGCTGGTCAAAAGCACAAAAATAGAAGACATGACCCCAAAATCAGGTTTATGGCCAAGCCAGGAGTCAGGAGCACAACGACCCACGACGTCCGATTTAAGTTGCTTTTAACCCTGTACATGAAAACGAAGCCCCGCTTAGCGGGGCTTTGTCAACCTGATTTATCTAACTGCACTGACATCGAACTTACGATATCTATTATATTATAATACGTAACCATACCAACTGCTGGATTACCTGATAATTGGAAAAGTATGTGTTGATAAGCAAATGATACTAAGCCATCCTAGAGGGATAATGCACAGGCGCACATCCAAAATAACACTTACTGTCACCAAGTATGTTATGTGAGTGAGGACTCTAGGTGCCCATCTAGTGGCCTCTGGGAAGACGGTAGCACAGGGTCACGTGCTGCCGTGCAAAGCGATGATCAAGGATCAAGCACGTCTCATTAGGGATGTGCTGTATCAGCCGTTGCACCGTGTAGGCTCCGGAGCAGGTCTCTTCAGAGGACCCGGTGTCCCTTACAGGTGCTGAGGGCGGCCACCAGGGTGGTTTTAGTGAGGTAAGAATCCCGCACTCCCTAGTCTTTCTACCCAAAAAGTTAGGCGCCTTTTAAAGGTTTTCCCCCAAGATCAAAAAAAAGGTATATTATGTACATATATGTAATAAGGGGTGCGCCTATCACCGTACAACGGGCACATCTATTATATCTATTTACTAATATACAATAAAGTGCAAGTGCGACTGCCGGGCAAGGGATCTCGTGTTCAAATCCCGGGCCGGGCAAAGTATTACTGGGTTTTTTAGAATTCTCAGTAACATTGAGTCTGGAGTTGTGCCCGGTATATGGCAACCTTACACCCCCTATTACATGGGAAACAGTGAAAAGTGGGTGTTACATTGTACAGTGGCATTAAGTGCCAAATGTACACCTCTGCGTACCATTACGGGGATAAAATGCGTGATGTTACTGATATATAAAGCTAAAGAGTTTGTTTGGTAGTTTGTCTGTTTGTATGAACGCATTAGTCCCCGAAACTACTGGTCCAATTTGAATAATTCTTTTTGTGTTGGGTAGTGCATTTGTCAATGTTAGCTAAGTTATAAGACATCGCGCTATGACCAATAGCACCCGATCAGCGGATGAAACCGCGAGGGAGTATCTAATACAGGCCCTCCAAGATTTAATGCCAGTTGCGTCATCGTGAAATGTATAGTAAAAATGATGAAATTACAAAGAATATTAACACTTTAGATTATTAATCTTCACGTTCAAAGTCACGGGTACCAACGAGCCACGATTCTTAATGTTTACACCACAAATATAATTACTTATCCTCAAGGTCAATAACTGGTTTTTTGCTCGAATAACATTGCTGGCTTCGATCGTCTTGAAACGAGTTGAGTAGTCTTTATTTTCCAACTATGCAGGGGACTTTTCGATGCAATATAAAAGGTGACGTCATTTTTTAAATATAAAGGCCTCTTGACCTACGAAGCAGTTGTCATTGACTATGAACCTCCTTTATAAGAGAGTTTACCACCTCCATGCTTGGAATGCAGAGCTTCGCAATACGGTATTTTACAACTAATCAAATTCAATACTTTTATCGAAACGTCAACAACGATATTGTTCTATGAATTTTGTACCAAAAACTAACTTGTGACGTCATCATATATTCGAGTCAAGTATCACACTTATTTCTGAAAAAATTGTTAGATTATATCGAAAATTAAGTATATCGTCAAATATATGAATGAAATTATAATTAATTTTGAATATTTAATTGGATTGAAGAATCAAAATAATTTATTTTTGATACAGGAAAATACTCAATTCAAAAATGTCAGGTTCATGAAGGAGCTTTGGGGTCTGGTCTCTATCAAATGTTAATCCCTCAATGGGTCTTAGGACGCGGGAGTGCAAGAGAGATGAATATGTATATCAATCTACCACTAGACAGCTAAAGCAGTCACCTATAACTTGTTTTAAGCCTGCCCTCACATCGGCCGTCCATTCAACCTGTACAGAATCCAGTTGTAAACTAGTTATTAACCCGACTTCGTTTATTCTAATTTCAATCACGAAAATATGCATCAATAGAGCACTTGTCACTTAGAAGCATGTGTCGGTATGTTGTTCAAAATAAGAATGCATGCAAAATAAGAATGTTTAAAATTCAGGCATGTCAGCGAATTGACGGTTGTAAGGGCGTTCGATTTTTAAAAATGTTTGAGTACTATATGCTCAATAACTTCGTTCATGTATGCATTCATCAATGAAACACTATGTCACTTAGAAGCATGTGTCGGTATGTTGTTCAAAATTAGAATGCATGCAAAATAAGAATGTTTAAAATTCAGGCATGTCAGCGAATTGACGGTTGTAAGGGCGTTCGATTTTTGAAAATGTTTGAGTACTATATGCTCAATAACTTCGTTCATATATGCATTCATCAATGGAATACTTAGTAGGATGTGTCGGAATGTTGTTCAAAATTAGAATGCTCATTTTAGGCATGTCTGCGAATTGACAGGCGTTCGATTTTTGAAATTTTTTGAGCAGTATGCCTTTTTTACCGACTTCAAAATAAAACAAAAAGGAGGTTCTCAGTTTAATCTGTATATACATATTATGTATGTTCGTCCGCGATTATCTCTAAACCGATTTTGATGGCGATTCAAGAAAAGTGTTAATAACACTTAGTGGAATGTTTTAGTATAATAATTAACCGATTTCAAAAAAAGAGGGTTAATGCGTGTGTATTTTTTATTAACACACGACTTTTCTTAGAACAACTACCTTTATTTTTTACAACACAAGGTGACAACATACATAACAAGTCATATTACCAACCTTACAAAAAATATTTTGTTACTTGCCAACCTAATATTCTTAAACGTAGATTATAAAAGAATTATTAGGATACTAATTTAGATCATGTATAACAGAACTTTTAGTTTTTTAATCTTTTAATGAACAAGATATTTGTACAGACGACCAAGTTATCACACAGTTTGTTATCACATATTGTAGAAGATAGAAGGTCGACTTCCGAGGGATTTGGAAAAACAACACAAACTGTTACTTCACCTTTTATTCACTTCCTTTATCCCGTCACATTTGACGAGGAACCTAACTAAACTAAACTAAATTGGTGTCACGAAACCATAGCGCGATCTATGTCGATATTAACGCCATCTATCGAGCGACGTGACAACTTTGAATAATAATAATTTTATTATTAGATGTTGATGCGCTATGATCCCGTTACCGCTCCGAACACATATTAATAGCCCGATACAGTGCACTACTGAACTATAAACCTATGTTAAACTACAAAAATGGTGTTTGCCACAATCA